CGCCCCTCTTTCCTTCTAGATGGAGAGAGCTTGGATAGCATAACACTCGTAGCCTCTCTCTGCTCCTGCACCGACTCCCACCCCCCACCCCCGGGAGGGGTTGCTCAATCTGGTTGGTCAATTTAGAAGGAGAAAGTGGACACGTGTGACTAAGCCCTTTCCTGCCTCTTCCCCTGATCTGTCCCCCCCACACCAAGTTTTACAAGGTAGCCCTGCAGTTCCCTGTGCATCTCCCCTCTGTCCTGTGAACTCTGGCTACCTTATTCTCCCCAGACTCTCAGCATTGTTCCTCAACTCAGGGAGTCTGCCAAGCTCTGCCTGGGTCGCCCTTCCCTGCACTGCGGCCTGGAAACTCTCTCCAGGAGAGAGAACAATCTTAAGGCTCACTTCATTTGTATCCATCCTTCGGGGGTCACTGTCCTTCCTTCCTTCCTTCATCATTGAACCTTGATCAGTTTATGAGGTAGGTACTCGTATCCCCATTTTATTATCCCCATTTTACAGATACACCGATATGAGGCAGGCACCAGCATTACCCTCATTTCACAGATGAGTAAACTGAGGCTTAGAGAGGTTAAGTGACTTGTACAAGGTTGCTAAGCAAGGAGCAGGACCAGAACTTGGACCTGGTTCTTTCTTTCTTCCAGGATCTGAAACACCGCTCTCTACTACGTCTCCGAACGCATGCCATAACCAAATGTAACTATTCCTGGTCACTCTCCACTGCCCAGAACCTGCCCTGCAGAAATAATAACATGAATGAGCAGGATATACTGACCTTGATATTTATTGCAGTTTTGTTTATAATTTTAAAAAATTGGAAACAACATGTGCCCATCAAGAAGAGGATGCTTAGGGACTTCCCTGGTGGTCCAGTGGTTAAGACTCCACACTTCCAATGCAAGGGGCATAGGTTTGATCCCTGGTCAGGGAACTAAGATCCCACATGCCCTACAGTGCTGCCAAAAAAAAAAAAAAAAAAAAAAGAGGATGTTTAAATACATTCTGATATATCCATACAATGGAGTGCTGCACAGCTGTTAAAAAGTATCAGGAAGATTTATATGTATTGGCATTAAAGATGTTCAATCTCTCTCTCTCTCTCTCTCTCTCTCTCTCTCTCTCTCTCTCTCTATATATATATATATATATATATATATATATATATATACACACACACATACATATATATGTAAAATGATAGTACATTGCTTTTTTAAAAATATCTATCTATCTATCGATATCTCCAGTCCCATGCAGGTCCATGAGGGGGAGCATTGCTCTGCTCCAGGCAGCCATTCAGGGACCCAGACTCCTTCCATCTTCCATCCTTCATCACAGCAGAAGGAGAAGAGAGAGAGTAGAGGGTCAGGTGTGGGAGATTTTTATGGGCTGGGCATGGAAGTGACAATCATTACTTCAACCATATTCCATTGTCCACCCTTGAGCATATGGCCACTCCTCACCACAGGGGAGGCTGGGAGATGTCGTCTAGCTGTACGCCAGTAGGTGGGCTTGGTGAGCATCTAGTCAGCCTCGGCTGCACCAACTGATATGTACCTTTTAAACCGATTCATATAAAAAAAAATAAGTATGTGCATGGATATATTTTTAATATGGAAAAGTCTGGAAGGGTGTATTAAGCCATTCCCTCTCATGAGTGAAAGGGAGACTTTCACTTTATATGTCTGTAAGTTATTTTTCAAAATGATGGCACGTATTTTCTGTGATTAACACTTAAAGATTTGTATGGGACTTCCCTAGTGGTCTAGTAAGACTTTGTGCCCCCAATGGAGGGGGCCAGGGTTTGATCCTCGATCGGGGAACTAGATCCCACACGCATGCCGCAACTAAGAGTCTGCATGCCGCAACTAAAGATCCCACGTGCCACAACTAAGACCAAGCGCAGCCTAAATAAATAAATATTTTTTTAAAAAAACCACACTTAAAGATTTGTAAAATGATACTACGTTGCTTTTCTTAAAAATGGCTTTGAGCTACAGTAATCAAGACAGCATGGTACCGGCACAAAAACAGAAATATACATCAATGGAACAAGATAGAAAGCCCAGAGATAAACCCACGCACAAATGGTCACCTTATCTTTGATAAAGGAGACAAGAATATACAATGGAGAAAAGACAGCCTCTTCAATAAGTGGTGCTGGGAAAACTGGACAGCTACACATAAAAGAATGAAATTAGAACACTCCCTAACACCATACACAAAAATAAACTCAAAATGGATTAAAGACCTAAATGTAAGGCCAGAGACTATAAAACTCTTAGAGGAACACATAGGCAGAACACTCCATGACGTAAATCACAGCAAGATCCTTTTTGACCCACCTCCTAGAGAAATGGAAATAAAAACAAAAATAAACAAATGGGACCTAATGAAACGTAAAAGCTTTTGCACAGCAAAGGAAACCATAAACAAGACGAAAAGACAACCCTCAGAATGGGAGACAATATTTGCAAATGAAGCAACCGACAAAGAATTAATCTCCAGAATATACAAGCAGCTCATGCAGCTCAATATCAAAAAAACAAACAACCCAATCCAAAAATGGGCAGAAGACCTAAATAGACATTTCTCTAAAGAAGATATACAGATTGCCAACAAACACATGAAAGGATGCTCAACATCACTAATCATTAGAGAAATGCAAATCAAAACTACAGTGAGGTATCACCTCACACCAGTCAGAATGGCCATCGTCAAAAAATCTACTAACAATAAATGCTGGAGAGGGTGTGGAGTAAAGGGAACCCTCTTGCACTGTTGGTGGGAATGTAGATTGGTACAGCCACTATGGAGAACAGTATGGATGTTCCCCAAAAAACTACAAATAGAACCACCATACGACCCAGCAATCCCACTACTGGGCATATACCCTGAGAAAACCATAATTCAAAAAGAGACATGTACCACAATGTTCATTGCAGCTCTATTTACAGTAGCCAGGACATGGAAGCAACCTAAGTGTATGTCGACAGATGAATGGATAAAGAAGATATGGCACATATATACAATGGAATATTAGCCATAAAAAGACACGAAATTGAGTTATTTGTAGTGAGGTGGATGGACCTAGAGACTGTCATACAGAGTGAAGTAAGTCAGAAAGAGAGAAACAAATACCGTATGCCGTATGCTAGCACATATATATGGAATCTAAAAAAAAAAAAAAAGGTTCTGAAGAACCTATGGGTAGGGCAGGAATAAAGATGCAGACATAAAGAATGGACTTGGGGACACAGGGAGGGGGAAGGGTAAGCTGGGATGAAGTGAGAGAGTGGCATGGACATATATACACTACCAAATGTAAAACAGATAGCTAGTGGGAAGCAGCCGCATAGCACACGGAGATCAGCTCTGTGCTTTGTGACCACCTAGAGGGGTGGGATAGGGAGGGTGGGAGGAAGACGCAAAAGGGAGGAGATATGGGGATATAGGTATATGTATAGCTGATTCACTTTGTTATACAGCAGAAATTAACACACCATTGTAAAGCAATTATACTCCAATAAAGATGTTTTTTTAAAAATGGCTTTGAGCCAACGGAGTTTAGAAATTTAAATGTTCACTAGGGGGCAGGAGAGATGTGTGTTTTGTGTGCTTCTGCTATTTGCTAATCGCCATTTACTACATTTCTTGCATAATTTCCTCCTTCAGCAGGCCATCTGTAACGTTTGCTGAACTGTTTAAGAAAATGACAGCATGGCTTCCCTGGTGGCGCAGTGGTTAAGAATCCGCCTACCAATGCACGGGACAAGGGTTCGAGCCCTGGTCCGGGAAGATCCCACATGCTGCGGAGCAACTAAGCCCGTGCACCACAGCTACTGAGCCTGTGCTCTAGAGCCCACGAGCCACAACTACTAAGCCTGCGTGCCACAACTGCTGAAGCCCACGCACGTAGAGCCCATGATCCACAAGAGAAGCCACCGCAGTGAGAAGCCCGTGCACCGCAAAGAAGAGTAGCCCCCGCTCGCCGCAACTAGAGAAAGCCCGTGTGCAGCAACGGAGACCCAACACAGCCAAAAATAAATAAATTTTTTTTTAAAAAAAAGAAAGAAAATGACAGCACCCAGGCCTCGCACACTGGCAGGCTTCAGCTATGGGCTCAACCATCCCATTTTAATTGGATCCTCAAGGCTGTGGTTACCTTATGTGTCAGGATTGAAAATGCGTGTGTTTCATACTAGCTTTCGAGCACCCAGAGCAAGAAGTCTGTTAACTTGCCCGAGAAAAGGCCAGAGTACCGTGAAGCCGATGTACTGCCTGCTCTGCTGGGATCAGTCTGGGAGATGCCACATTTAGATCATGGAGTGATGACCCAGACATCTGTCCCCACCTTTTTGAGGATGTATGTGGACACTTCCCCAGTCTCCTGAGCACGGCAACCAGATCTGGGATTAAACCATTTGGGGGCATGGGGGAATGTGGGGGAACTCATGCTCACAGGAATGAATAATGAGCAAAATCTCAATGAAAACAAAATCACTAATGTCATCTAAAGTCACTAAAACATTTGTCTCCTCTCTTTGGACTTTCCTGATGCTCCGAATCGGGATGAATACCCTCACACCCAGACAACATGGTGGGCAACCCCCACTGGAATGTTCATCATAGCCAGTCTCTTAGAAGAGTTTGTTAGGGACTGAGAGTTCCACCCCCAATTCCCGTGGAGCTCCTGGAGACCAGGAACCAGGTCTTGTTTGTCTTTGTTTTTCTCATGAGGCCAGGACGCTGAGGACATGCAATCTATGTGAACGGAATGGAACTGAACTGAACAAATACGGAGCATCATGTAAAATACTGTGGGGTGGGCTTCCCTGGTGGCGCAGTGCTTGAGAGTCCGCCTGCCGATGCAGGAGACGCGGGTTCGTGCCCCGTTTCGGGAAGATCCCACATGCCGCGGAGCGGCTGGGCCCGTGAGCCATGGCCACTGAGCCTGCGCGTCCGGAGCCTGTGCTCCGC